AAGATTTCTGTCTTCTGGGTTGTTGCGCTGTGTAGTCTGGTCGATGTTTACCAACGTTTCGGAGGTCATACTGCCTCCGTCATCAGGGCGATTCTACCATACTACACAGCGTAACAACCCAGAAGACAGAAATCTTTATAATCACCGCTGTGAAAACTTCAAATCTTACACAGAATAAATACTCATCCCTGCCTGGATCGAAACCTGGTCATCTGTCACTTTAGCTTGCATAGAAATAATTTAAATTAAAAGATAGGAAAAAAAGTAAAACGAAAAATAATAACTTTCATGCACATTTAAGTTTCATGCTATCTATAACCCGTTAACAAGCATCTCCGTTGTATTTAATACGGTCTGCTCGAATGAGAAACTTCCTCTTGAATGCAGTCTGAAGCATAAGTTAATTTCCACGATTGTGCCAAAGGTTGTTTCTTACTTCGTAAAAACAGTTGCTGGCTTCACGTCAGTCTACACTGTTGATACAGCAGACTGACGAGATTGCTAGCAGACAGCTTGATGGAAGAGTTGAAGATAATTGGACTTCACATCCCCTGTGATAAGACGGATTTCATAAAGGCGAAGAAGAATGCGAAACACAACCAAAAGCAGGGCAGCAAAGCTGCTGTCTTAATCTCTTAAGCCAAAGATATAAACTAAATAACATTAAAAATTCAGTCCCTAGCCGAGATAAAAACGCATCTCCATTACAATTCAATTATAATATCCTTACATAACACGGACAAATTATTGCTGCTAATTAAGGAAATAATCGTTATTTATTATGACTTATAAGAAACCCAAAAACGAGTCAAAAATACATAGTTCTTGAATTTTAAAGCAGGAACAACGAAACAGGGTCATCTTGGATGTCAAATATTCATTTGTTCAGTATTAAAAAGATCCCGGGTTCCGTCCAGACCGCCGCTAATATTAAAATATAAATTAATAAAGAAATTCTTTACTAACATGAATAAAGACGTATAAAAGTAAAAAAATGTCGACTTGTGTTGGGCAAGGCCGTGGTCTAGGCATCACGGGGTTTTCCTCCGGGGGCTTCCCCGGTTTCTCCGTGGCATCCCAACAATTACTCCATTCACACACAGAAGAAGGCAATGGCAAACCACTTCTGATCATCTCTGCCAAGAATGTATATATGTATGAGCAGGTCCCTGACAACCTGAAGAGGTTGGAAGGATCCTGTTCATGATATATGGACCTGTCGTCAGACAGAACACTACAAATAAATAAATAAAATATAACAGACAATGGAAATGCTAAAGATGAGACCGGTATAAATAAAAATTAAATTCGATTTTCACTTCAGCGATTAAACGGTGCTACAACCAAGAAGACAGTCATCTTGGAAAAATACTATTTCGGATTTTACTGAATAGCGTGCTACATGCTCTTGTATTAAAATTATGTTTTAATATGACACTCATTTATACTAGGATTTTAAGTAATTCAACCTGTCACGCATACATTTCAAATTAATTACTCAATTTAGTTATAAAACAACATACATTAATATTAAAATAGAAATTATTTAAAATATATTTGAATCTTGATCTGATAAAGTAAATAGTATTTTAAAATTCTTAATTAGTTATCACAGCTGTAAGCCATACGTATAATCACAGAGAACAATAACAATCACACTTTTTAAAATATTTCAACACCGACTGATGCATGTAAATGTCCGAAATAATTTTGAAGTACCGTGCCCGACACACTGGATATCATGGTTCATATAAGAACAATTGTAAACCGCGTATAAGTACAAGCCATGTTATTGCAAACTCTACGCATTATTATTCACGAAGCATACAATTAACAATGCGAAATCCCGTCTATTTCTGACAGAGTGTACAGAAATTATAAAACAACTCAGACCACTACAAAACACCAAATCCTACACAATATCTGTGTACTCGTAAGTTAGAGGATTACGTTATATGAATACAAAAATAAAACTCGTATACTTTGCAAGATCACAATCTGCAACACAGTTTGGAAGAGATTATTCTAGGGGAATTTTTATAAATTAGTTATAAAATATTAGTTTCATTGCGACGTTAGTCTTATAATTAATGTATGTTCGTTAATAGATATGTAAAAATACTTTTAGAGACTTTTTATCTAAGTATAGATAATAGAAACGTTGGTAAACATCGACCAGACTACACAGCGCAACACCCCAGAAGACAGAAATCTTCAAAAATAATTATACTTCACAAAGGCATGAGATTAAATCACTGTAAACCTTTGCGATTTTCATGTTGATAGATTATGGTCAGACAGAATAAAGCTTGCATTTGTAGCCTACACGCAAAAGCCAATATTTGTTTGGTAAAACAAAAGAAAACTTTACTGTATCTTATCACACAGAAAGATCTTTACTCACCTGCAGGATGCCGTACTTCAGTTCAACGTCCAGGAAGTGATACTCGCGTGCGTGTGGAGGTCGTGGAGATGTGGACGGCTGGGTCTGTGAAGAGGCCCCCGTCGAAGGAGGACCGGCTCCTCCCCCGCCCCCAGACTCCTGGTACGCCAGCACATTTGCAAGGCTGGCCAACACGGGCTCCGAGGCGAATGCTAGGGTCTCGCTGCATTCTTCGACGGGGTGCAACACCTGAAGGATCTTGGGATGGCGGAACCTCTCCAGCTGGCGGATGCTGCTCCTTAAGATCTCTGTCACTGTCTCCTTCCGTTTCGGTTTGTGCAGTTTCTCCGCGCACCTTTTCTCGAAGAGGAACACAGACACCTCCTAGAAAGCATAAACACGAAAAGCTTCATGTGAGATTGCCAATGGGTACAAAAACCTTCGCAGATTATTTTAAGCGATACAATTCACTAAACTATATAATACAATCAATGTTCTTTGTTCTATGGCTCTCAGATCCGTATTCGGTCCTCTGTTAGGCCCGTCTGTCCGAGGCTTTCATTGAGGTCTCGAAACATCTTCCTTTTTACGGTGCAAGGTTGTTAGCCTTGCGACCAACCCCCCAACCTGGAGGACCAGGGTACCTGCCCATCAATATTCTTACCACAAAGTATTTCTGCATATTTTAGCATAAAGTTTCACCATAAAATAAACGAAGTTGATGTAAAGGGTAAATTTCCACGGCGACAAAGAAGTGCGTCGCCGACAATTACTGTGCTAGTTCGTGACACGCAACGTAAAAACAAAGGTTTCATCTCTGGATATTAAATTTTATGGTCTCAAAAGTTTCTCAGGGTATTTCAAGCTGTAGTTTCACCATAAAATAAACAAGACGACGGTATAGGGTGCGAAGTTTCCACGACGACGAAGCACTGCGTCATGGACCATTTCCGTCGGCACGGTTAATGAGACGCAGCGTAACAAAATTATTGTCTTAGGATGTTCCAAGCCATAGTTTCGCCATAAAGCAAATAGGATTAAGTTAAAGGGTAAAGATGTCACGGTTCCTAAGTAACGCGCCGTGAAAAATTTCTGTAGAACGCAGTCTGAAACATAACAACACTGACAATACCCTCGTATGACACAGATGGATCTGGTTATGTATTGATATTTCTTCAGCTTATAGTTCTCCTTTAGTGTTCCGCAACCGACGTGCCGAGATTTTTTTATGAGTTTGTATATTCTCACCTTATAGTTCGAAAAATATAGTATGTTACGTTTCGTAATAAGAATTCGTAATACACACATGATCTATATTCTTATATAACACACATGTTTTGTTTTCAAATACCTGCGTTATTCTGGGACAAAGATTTATATGTAGATACATATTTATGAACGTGTATAGTCTTGTACACCATTCTCGCGAGGCAAAATTTTATGATGTTACGTCATATGTCTTAGATAAATTAGTGTTTACTTCGGGTGAAAGAGTTGTGGCATGCTGATCTAGCACAGTGATTCATAAGCAAAATATCGCCATAAAATAATTCACGTACAAAAACTACAATATTTTCCGATCACCGCATTTACTTTTGATTGATAAAAATATACCGAAACAAATATTTGAACATCAGAGACTGTACGCAACAGGACGACGAAGAAGAATATGTAATAATGACGAGCTTAATATTTTGTACTCAAAAAATACTGTTGCTATAATCAGATCAAGGTAGATAAGATGGACATGTAAATAGTATGGGGAACTGAAAAATATTTATAAAATTTTAGCCAGAAACCCTGTCATAATTCATTAATAATTACTATTCAGCAAATTATTTTAATGAAACGATATATGTAACATTCTTGAAATTCACATTACAGAATGTATTTAAAAATCGTACTTCTACTTAGTTAAATATTCGCTATATCGACGAACATTTTAAGTAAAATGTCTATATCCGAGTGGACTGATACGTGCCAACATTAAACTCGTCCAACCGTTATCACCAAATTTCACAGAAATCCGCTAGGTGGTTTAAGAAATGAATAATGCTGATGGACAGCCATGATCTCCCAATTATGCATCTACTCCGTAAAATTAAAACAACAAACGAATCAAAATGCTGAACGTGAAAGAGGACAGCATAATCTCGTAACTCCAAACGCCATACCTAAAACCGAGAACACGTAATTAAGTGATGTATTTACAGAAAATAATATTGACTGGCAAATAAATACAACTTCATCAAGTCTGGATACATTTCACAGGCAAACATGTTTGCATCAGCAAATTGAGTTTCTGAGAGCGTAAATACGAGTGAGCGTTAAGTTTAATTTAATTTCCGCCATTGATTGTGGGTTGAAATCAATAAGAAAGCTGCAACCCGCCTTGCTATCATGTACAGAATGTTCCCTACCCTAGTAGGCGCACACATCATCTAAACCTTTTGTTTTCAAACTATGATTGTTAGTTAACAGCGCTGTATCAAATACAGATATTATTTGGATTATTATGTGCGTTCTCAGAGACACACAAACCTTTCATGAGGTTCTAAAAGTGAGGTCGTTATTTAACAATGATGTATCAAATATATATATATATATATATATATATATAAATAATTGATTATAATGTAGTGGACAGCAGCAGCGTTAGTGATGAATCGAGTGATATGTCAGAAAGTGATTGTCTGTGAGGAGTGGAGGAATTGGAGTAGGACCGTTGTGAAGAAGATGAATTTATCTAATACTTTCTGCAGTGTTAATTTTCTAGTCATGTCTATTTTATTGAAATCGACTTTCCCGTGTTACTTACCTTGGTGATATTTTATTTAGAGTGTACTGTATGCGGCCTGCTACCATCCCTTCCAGCAAACTTCTGGTAAGTGACTCGCTCCAAGGTACCAATTCACAAAGTTCAGCGGCCAAAAACGTTGGAACGCAGTATACAACGCTGCTAGCTCTGCTCAGTTGTGAGCCGTCCTCACTCGCCTCGGCTCCGCTGTTGCAATGGTGTCTGTGGTTTGTTTCTGTAAACTGCCCCAGGGAAACTTACTTTGTGGACGAACCTCGTATATAGATTATTACGTGCGTGAACAAAAGATAAAGGTTTAACGAAGAGTTAGGCAAAGCAAGGTTAAATATATAATCTATAAACATAAATAATAATTCGTCAATCATAAATATAGATAATGAAGCCCTTTGAATATTAATAATAATGTAAACCGGTACCCAAAGCTTCGTTGGCCATGCAGTGAGCTATGGATAATGCATCTTCGTCGATCAATCGCAGTGTGGTGTTGCACGAAACTTCTCGAATCAGCACGAACAGAATCCACCTGTTGAGTGTTACGTATCAACAAGTAGGCAGAGGACACCATATATCGCATTCAGCCAACACGAAATAAAAGTGAATGCTGTACTTGTAAGCAAATCAGTACTATTAATCTGATATCGTTAGTACGGGCCAAGGTACAAAGCCATTTACAACATTACATAAGTTCATTTGAATTGTCTCTCTTTTTACAGTCAGTCACTCACTAAACAGTGGATTTGGAATCGTGCGAAGATTTAAGGATAAATAAACGGATTACCATTTTCTGTCCCTAGTATATCATTCATTAACTGTCCCACATCAACCATGTGCACTGTACCACTTTGTAAAATCAAGACAATAGCTAACTACGCTCTCGAATATGTGATCAATATCAGGAAAAGCTGTAGCCTTAGAGATTACGTCTTCTGGGAACTTGCGTCTCAGATATCTACCCCTCTTGAAGACACCCACTTGGATCAGCTTCCTTCCCACGCAGTTGGACTTCGTGGGAGGTTTCGGAAAGAATTTTAAGAAAGGGAAATTAGTTTTGAAGATTTCTGTCTTCTGGGTTGTTGCGCTGTGTAGTCTGGTCGATGTTTAAAAACGTTTCAGAGGTCATACTGCCTCCGTCATCAGGGCGATGAGTATGAAGATTTCTGTCTTCTGGGTTGTTGCGCTGTGTAGTCTGATAGATGATTACCAACGTTTCAGAGGTCATACTGCCTCCGTCATCAGGGCGATGAGTATGAAGATTTCTGTCTTCTGGGTTGTTGCGCTGTGTAGTCTGGTAGATGATTACCAACGTTTCAGAGTTCATACTGCCTCCGTCATCAGCGTAGGGCGTACAATAACTTGATCGCCTTCCCCGCTGAGTTCAAATCGCTTTTGACACTCTAAAGGTTTGTGACTGGTTGATTTATTATAGGAACACTGTGCTGGGCATTGTCTTATATCTGAAGTATGTATGATATTTACGACGTTTCAGGAGTTGGCTGTCTTCAGGTAATTGGTTGTTATTACACAAATATTTACGAAAATCGAAAACAAATATTATACTGAAGATTTCTGTCTTCTGGGTTGATGAATCGCCCTGATGACGGAGGCAGTATGACCTCTGAAACGTTGGTAAACATCTACCAGACTACACG